AGCAAAACTATCATCACTATTTTGTACAATTTCTTTTTGTCTCATTTCTAAAAGCATTTGTGAACGTTCATATATTGAATCAGTTACATAACCAATTTTTGTTGCATTTATAATTAATATTTCAACAATATCACTAACATTTGTTGCACATTGTTCAGTCATAATATTTATTTTACCATCAATTGATGTACGCATTATACCAGGACCAACACAAATAGCTAAATTTTTAGCATTCATTTTATTATCACGTTCATTTAATGTTATTTCATATAAAAAACGTAAAATATAAATAAGTGCATGTAAATGTTCATCAGGTAAAAGTAAAAGAATATTAATATAAATATCAAGTTTTTTATCTGATGATATTGTACGCATTGAAAAACAATCAAGTAAAAGATCTTGTATAGGATATGTTATTAATGGATATGTAAGACGACGAAGAAATTCTTTAAACAATGAACAAATATCAAATACGGTATTTGATGATGTTAAACTAGGTGTTAAACAACTATCTTCCATACGAGCCTAATCAATAGAAGAAGAAGAAAACAAAAAAAAATATGAATCATTTTTGTTTCAAACAAAAATAAACTAATTATAGTAGTAGAATTTACCATAAGTTCTTTAACACGTTGAGAACCACCTGATTTTCGAAAGAGACCTTCATGTTTAATTGAACGACGTATACAATCAAAACACCATCGTAAAAATATTGGTACTGTCAAATCAAAATCATCTATTCGTACTGATATTGTATCCATTTGATGTAGAGGTACATTAAATACACGTGTTCCACGTTGATGTTTTGAATTATTAGATATATGAGGAGATGTTTGACCAATGGTTACATTACGATGTTTATTTGTATCAATACGTAAACCGATACTATTAAGATCACTAATAATAAATTCACGAACACTACCTTTTTCTTCAATTGTTATAAAATTACGCATGTCTTTTGTTTTAGTTTTTTGTTAATGCTTAAGAGAAATACTAAGAATAGATATAAAGAAGAATTTCTAACATATCTAAAATAGATATATAAATATACTTAGATAGTCAATTGTCATTAAAATGTATTGAATTAAGTGTCAAGAATTGGAAGTTGCATAGAAGAAAAGACAAATTGACGAAACAGAGAACTGTGCATTTATCCAATACGGTTTGCGGGAGAATGGAATCAATGAACCAATTATCTATTAAACATGAGTTTTTAGTGACCTCTATTGAAATAATGCTATTTCATATCACATCGGTCGTCAACCGATAATCCAATTAATATCCAGCATCATTCATTTCAAGTCTTCGAGTAGTGTTTTGCTGCCAGCCCGATCGGGTACTTGGTGTCTGGCTCGGAGCGTGGGTTTGGGTCAGAGTATAAACTCATATTCGAACTAACAGTTCATGAGATTTTGACGTTTCAAAATATTTTTACTTTTTCAAACTGCTACATTACACCAAAGCATAGGAGTAGAAAACCGAGCAATTTCATGTACTTGAGAATAGAACACAAAGGGGAAAAGCGATATTGTTCCACTGATAAAATTCGTTTTTAATGAGAATTAATCTAAAAATGATAATGAATCATATGATGAAGTAACTGAATACATGGAGATGAACATGAATTATCAAAAAAAAAGGTGAGCATATATTATCGTGCTAGAAAAAGCATTCATCTATGTGTCCACCTTTATCAAGTTTGGCATCAATATTGCGCTCCATACTAACATCATCAACAATAACCAAATGAATTGCGTTTTCATAGAATTTAAGATAATCTCTTCCTTCTGTTATTGTTTGTGAAATAATCTAAACAATTGACTTTTTCATATAAAGTAAAAGTGTGAAAATTGTATTGTAACTGTGAAAGTATCTGCTGGATGCTGATTAACTTCGGTTCCGGTTCGATTGCGAAATGTGGTAACTGTGCAGGACACTACTTTACAAAGTAAGGAAAGCACTTAATTTGTTGTACCATTATTGAAAAATGTCTCGTCTTATGCTTATTTATATATCACAATTTCAGATGAAGTTACAAATTACTTTTTGTTTTAGAATTTCGACCTTGTTTCTAATACATAATTTCTTCATTAATTCTTTTCGAACGTATTCGATTAGAAATCTCCATCGAATCAACTTGATAGTTTTAAGATGAATGTATTAACACGCATGAAGAAGAATAATAATATTATTTTCATTTTATCCTTTTTTTTTTGTTTATTTCTTACACACATACGAGAGTAAAAATTGATTTAGAAAAGTACTTGTTTAAATCTAGTCAAATCGATATGTGTACATGTAAATTTTTGTCATCATTTGTATGTTATTTTTTCTTATAATTTTTTTTTTGCACAAGAACATATTTTTCATAAAAATTTCTATAAGATACCATTGTCTTTGAATGACAATTGATGTAATAAAAGTTATTATGAAACAAACACTATAATATGATTACAAACTAAAATTATCATCAGAGATCATCATATGATATTTTAATCAATTAATTGATCGTGATCAAATGAAATTCTGGTCAAGTGATGAAACTTATCCTGACGTTTCATTATAACTACTAGTAACTAGAAGATTATATGTGATACTAGTGATTAATGCTTCGTTAGAAAGTTTGGTTAGCTCAGCTAGATTGGCATTTACTACAAGACAAACACATTTATCATCAAGTCACATTGATAGCATATGATTTATTTGTTAATACAAGAAATTTGAGAAAAAATAATAAAAAGAAAAATTCGATTTCTTGTTGTCGATCTATTTATATTGATTACATTTTGAATTCTGTATTTTTATGCTTGTTTTATTATTGTTTTGTTTATGTTATAGATGCCAAGTGTCTTTCTTTATTGTTCATTTCATATCTACTGCATAACATGTGATAAGATTTATTAACATGATTATATTGTATATAATTTTTGTATAAGCAATACGTCCATGATATTTGACATTGTACCTCATATATAGACAAGTCAATATTCTTGTCATAAAAGTAATGAAAAGATCATTGTGCAGACTGGACGTAGAAGGATCGTTTGTTCTATCAGGACGAAGAACATCATTCTGTAATATTCTCTCATTCTTGTTATAAGAAAATTGAAGTTTAGTGAAAGTCTTGATTATTATCTTCGTTGTAAAGTTACACTTATGTTATGGATTTTAATAGCTGATTCTTATGCAATGTGTAACAGAAACGAATTCAAATATCGAAATGAATTTCTCTTTTGATGAAATTCAAAGAACTAAATAAGAAAAAAAAAATTTAGGAAAATTCCTATTTCAGAATCTTGTGAAACCATCAATTTTTGCACAATCACAATAATACACATTAGTTATCTATTGTAAAAATTCTAAACAAAACTAGTCTTGATAAAAACAGATTAATATCATTGATTTGGAGACCTTACATCATTGATAAGAACACATCAATACTATTTGTATCTATTTTATTTTTATCAATTCATCTCATTTCAATGTTTAAAAGTAATTAGTGATTTTTGAAAAATTCTTAATCATGATTAAAAATAATCCGAACACGATTAAAGTATTGAGCATTTTTCGATCAAATCAAATATGTAAGTAATAAAGGAATAAGCACATAGACGTTTATTTGTTTAAGATATTAATATGCAATGACGCAAGTCGTACTAATATATTTTTTGGCGAGAGAAATACTATTGGGAATAACTTATTGTTAAAATCAATGCCTGTACACGTATTCAATCAAATAGATTGATGAACAATTATAAAAACTGGACAAGCGGAAAAAGACAGTATTACAATATCACATACTGATGTTCAAGCACAAGGCATTTAGGCCTACAACAAATAACACGCATACATATGCATTCTGGATAGACAATTATTGATTGCTGTGTCAGTTGTTTCTCTATGTACATGATTTGTATTTCTAAAACTCAAGCTGACATGTTGAACAAGCTAACATTTTTATTGAGACCAATTAATAAATTAAAAAACGAAAGTTTCAATATAAAAAAAACATTCTAAGAAAATTATTATATTGTGATGTTCTTATGAACATTTTATTAATAGTGCTAATGCTTGAGTTTGCTTATATTTATTATTGGAAAATCATTGATTCAGTTAATTCTTGAACGATAAGTATTTCTTCAAATAAAGTATTCATTTTCATACAGGAAAGATACCAGTGAGTGCTATTTTAGATCAAGGTTATTTTTGATCTATCTAGTTGACAGAGATAATCATTTTATAGAATCGATATTTTCTTCGAAAGAAACATGACTATTTTTGTCAACTTATAAGTATGTTTCTTTTTTGTCAGGTCAAATATAGACTATAGTTTCCAATAAAATATTAATTCTAACTGTAGAAATTATCATTTCATTAATTGATCACGATGTTTCTCAAACAATAAAATTGACAACTAACAGTTTATATCTAATGTAAAATCTCAATTAGATAACAGCTGAGCATAATATTCTTGATGCGGACATAATCAAAAGCACAGTCATAATTACTATTAAACGCTCATAATCAGACTATATACTGTATGAAAGTTACTAGTAAGATAGTTCTGCTCGTTTCTGCAGCATATTTATTTGAGAGAGAAAGAAAGAGAAATAGGACAAAAAAATTATAGATATCTACATCGTCTCCTCCTTGACGTTTTCATCGTTTCTTACTCTTGCATTCCCATAATACATATATATCGTACCATTACAAATAATAATCATAATACAGCGAAGATTATGTGCTACGCTTAGTGTGTACAGACGCATATATACAAACGATGATCTTACAAATATTATTTGGACATGACTAAGGACAAGGTCTCTCATTTCTTTCAGCAATAATAGAAAAAGAAGAATAAGAATAAGAATAAGAAGAGAAAAGGCTAATAGAAAATGCACAACTGAGCGACGCGCCATCCTATTAAAGAGGAGACAAGAAAATAGTCGTAGAATATAACCGCAAGAATTATATCCAAGTTCTAGACAAAGAAAAAAACAATGGATTTGTCATTACTGCCTACAGTACCTGTACTACTAGAACGATCGAGTTTAGATCAAAGTTGGGGCTTTCGTCTTCAAGGTGGAGCTGATTTTCGATTGCCGTTGTCAATTAAAAAGGTTTGTATTTCATCGTCTCTTTTTTGAAAGACAAACAAATCATCTCTCTCTTTGTTCTTTACTATAAACATAGGTAATATCCAATTCACCATCACACAATAAACTTCATGTTGGCGATGGCCTTGCTTTTATTGAGGGACTAGATACAAATTTAATGAAACATGAAGATGCAGAAAATATTATTCGAAATGCATTACGATTACAACTTATTCTTCGACGGTATGATGCTCTACTTATCTGTTTATAGTGTCGACTATAGACTCAATATGTTGTTCCTACTGAGAAATCACAGGAAAGTTATTCGAGATAGAAAACAGTTAAATTTGAATAACCCATGAATTAACATTTCATGGAAATACATATATAACAAATATCAATTATACATGAGTCGATATGAATACATTTAGAGAAAATTACTTGATACATTCTATAATGTGAATAATGGCATTATATTGTACTAATTTCAAGACTAATTATTGACAAAGGTTAATATGAGCTTCATGTGGCCTTCATTTATCAAGAAGGGTGTTGAAACATGTCTTATATAATATTCAATATGATCGATTACTTCTTCTAATAGATGAATTGAAGCCTCGTTTGAGCATTAAACACTAAGTCATATCAACGCATACCATGTAAAGAAACTTCTATTTTAGTCTTTCGACAGATTACTTCTATAGAGCAACCTTTACATAGATTTTCTCACTGAACTTAAGATAATTCATTATTTTAACTCATTTTTGAAGAGTAGAAAAAGTCAATTTGAGTATAGCGATTGATATGATATTATTTTTGCAGTTCAATTCAGATGTTTCCAGAAATGAAGAAGGAAAGTCTTATGAAATAATAAGAAAAACTTTTTTTTTGAATGCAGCTATGTAAAACTATGGCTTACACTTCAAAGTTTCTCATCTTGACACAAATAATCTTGAGCATCACATGCATAAATTATCATACTTTCAAATACTATTATATCTACTTTCTTTCTTTTTTTAGTGGTCAACTTAGTACAATTCGACCAACAAAAGCACCTGTTAAATTTACTCCTGGACCTGCTCCGCGTGCTAATTCAGCAATAAATAACACTACAACACCGAATAATTATCGTCGTTTTTAGTCGATTATCTGTCTATTATATTTCTTTTTTTATTATTATCAATATTTAGAACTCAGTTATATATTTTTTCAATACTAGTGCATATACAATTCGTTTTCTTATATTTATTTGTTTTGTATATGTAACTTGACAAGAAAACTACGAATGAGAAAAATTAAATAATAAAAAAAAACGCTAGCATTTATTTGATTACACAACATGATAACCTTCATTTTTTTGGATTTGTTGAAAAGAAATTACCTTTATTACAAAGAGAGCAAGCATGTGTTGCTTTTTCGCAGTGATGCTTCAACGTTTATTAATACGCATAAACAGTTTGTCCTTTATAAATAAGACAGTCGATAAACACAAGAAGTTTCTTGTATGTATGCTGATATCATCAATGATAATGATGGGAATTAGAGTCCTGTAGAGTAGAGTAAAGAAGATACAAAACAATGTTTAGAGCAGAATTAGAGTGTTGTTCAATTGCTCAGCGTTTTCTTGTAAGCAACTTCGAAGACTCTTCTGATTCTGACATCTTTCTAGTTTAGATGAAGGCAGTCATTATGTTCAAGCAAAATTGAGTTATGATGAAGAAGAATTTGTATTGAACTGACATGGAAATCATAGGGTAGGTTAGGGTATAGGATACGAGAAAGTCTTATTCTGTAGGAATTTCATTGAAATGTGACGGAGGTAAAATTGCCATTTACTTTTATTTCTTTATATTTTATAACGTTATCAAAGATTCACGCTTCTTTTTGTCTCCGTTGTTGCCCTAGTTATCTTTTCTCATAATTATGATTATAGACGTTGAACAAAGATCATTAGCTTAATTAGTTTGATCAAAAATTGTCAGCAGTTGTTGGATGTGTTTCTTTTCAAGCTGTTGTCAACATCAATTGATATTATGTATTGATTTCTATCTCACATTTCGTTGTGGGGTTGTAAAAATCCACGTCGATCTAACTAATGATTCATTATAATGAGTTTTGCCAGAATCAAAGAGTCAATAAGGAGAGGTATTCATTCTTGGATACTGAAGAAATATTAGTTATGTCTAGGACTTCGTTTTTTCACACTCACTTTTGAAAGGCTAATTCATTATTTTCGTACTTCTATGCATATTTGACATATATTTTACATTCACAAGGTTCTTGTGAATTTAATATGTAAATCATATTGTTTCATATTTGATCAATTATCTACCTTGCTTTATTTTTGTTTTAACTAATATCGGACTATAGTTCATTGAGATAGTGAAATATACTAAAAAATATCGGAGAAAAACAAACCACTTACGCATGTACATATATATATATATTTAAACTGGGAAACAAATATTGTGAGAAAGTTATAGAAACATAGAGTAATGCATCGTACAGACTTTAGAACATTTGCCTAGGACAAATCATCGATGTGTAAGTTTTTTTTATTTATGCGAAAGATATGCAGATTAGTATGAAAATGATTGCAGTTTCAGTGAAAGATGAAGAGCAAGCGAGTAGAAAAATACTATGCATTCATGTATTGAGAAATATAAAGAATATTTACAAAAAATGTTTACAGTTATCCTTTGAATACAAGTCAAATGAAAAGGCCAATTCATAATTAATATTAGTTATATGAGCGAAAGGAGGTATAAAATCGTCTTCTACGTTCAGTGAATTCTGTGACGGCAGTCACATTTTTATTCTGAAACATGAACAACAAATGAGACAAAAAGACAGAGAGAAAGAGATTTTATTTCTCAATTCGCTTCATTTTATCTATAGACTGGAACAAATAAAAACCCGATAATTAAATTAATACTGAAAGAATAATAAAATCTATTTTCAAAGTATGCAACTATATACAAAAGAACAAAAGGATTTGTTCATTTACCTACTTTTATTCTGCTGTGTAGCATCAATAACTATCTCAAAAAAATATTTTCTTCTTACATATCGTATTCTGACGATTGATGAAGAAGATTTGGATTATATTGACGAATTCTATCAATGCCTACTTTTTTTCTTAACGTATCTATAAAATGTCTAGGGATGCACCAATTCAAATTCCGACCAATTCCAATTCCTAGAATTATCGGAATTGGATTTGGAATTGGTCGGAATTGGTTGGAGTCTGCAAGAATTGGGATTGGAGTTGGTCGGAATTGGAATTGGTTTGGAATCGGTCCGAAAAAATTGGTGATCGATCGACGATTTCTCGAAATATGTGCGAAATCAACGATTTTAAAAAAACCAATTCCGACCAATTCCAATTCCAATTCTTGCCAATTCTAATTAGTTCCAATTCCGATTCCAACCAATTCCAACCGATTCCAATCAATTCCGATTCCAATTCCGCCAATTCCTAGTGACGAATAGGAATTGGAATTGGTTGGAATCGGAATTGGTGCATCCCTAAAAATGTCTAACGAAGCATCGAACTCCAACGTAGCCAAATTATTATGACTACATGTACCATAACGATGGCAGTGCGATTTTATTAATGTACAGTCGAAATTACATAAAAAAGAATTCTAAGATATGTCGATATATTTTATTTAATTAGGTTCCTACTAACTATTATTGCTTTCACTATTTAATGAATTACAATCATGTTTTCATGTGAAACATTCACTTAAACCTCTACATGAAATTTAATAAATTATAATATTTTGAAATATAATCATGTTAGGCATCCTCATCAGACACATATAAAACTTCTTTTTGTTTTAGTTTTTTTTTATTCTATAAAGAATATTAATAATTACTGATTTCATTCATTTATTGCTTAATTGTATCAAAAAAAATTAATACTTGATTATTAATATCTATTTAACAACAAATATATTTATATATATTGTTGTACGCTATTCATATTAATCGATATATGTAATTTCATACAGTATGATAAGTCATATAGAAATATAATTTTATTATTTAAAGAAGATAATAAAAACAAAAATAAAATGGAATTCTTGTGCCTGTCTAACAATTATGACTGATATCAGAAGGTCTCAAAATATTACAATTTTTTAAACAAACAAAGTTTATATATATTTTATAATTTTAGCTGCATTTTTTAAATATCTAAAACAAGTTTATACAGTTGTAAACGACTTGATTTTCTAGAGAATATATCGCCAGGCAGCATGCCTATCTCCCAAGTCACGAATTTCTTGTTCTGACATGTTTTCATAGCCCCATCGTCGTCTATCTTCTTCGCTGCCTAGCCCACATGTATCAGACCGATCCATGTCTGCCTCACATGACGCTGAATTCGTACTTCCAAGTGCAACTGACGATGGTATAGGTCCATAGAGACGATCGCGTCGTCGATTTTCTGCCCGTAAACCAAAGAAAAGGATCAAAACATTGATTAGACCGAATACACAAAAACCCAGATTGACGGCATGACCGAGAATAAATCGCGGTGCATCTTGTGTCCGATAGAGTTGCCCACTAATTGCTCCACCAATGTTGCCAACTGATATCATAAACGCCAATGCAGTGGCTCGTTTTATTTGTGGACTAGTGTTACCTGAAAGAAAAGCGATACTAGTTGATATGCATGGGGATAGGCTACCAGCTGCAAGAAATACAGCAAGGTACTTGATAGTCACGTTTTGTACTGCTATTAGAATAGTATAACCAATGATGGTACCGCAGAACCAGAAAATGATGAAGATACTGCGACGAGTATATTTGTCAGATAGATAGGCCGTGATCAATGTCGTGAAAAAAGCGAATACATAAGGCGGTGCACTGAGCAGTTGTGCTTGATACGAGACGAAACCAAGATTCTGAATGATCGTTGGCGAGAAAAATGACAGAGAATAGAAAGGAACAACTATCCCCAGATAGCACATGGACCAAACATAAATCTTCCATGTCGATAGAGCAGCTAGCACTTGATTCCAACTGAAATGCTCGCTAGCTCCAGTTGCTGTGTCTGCTTCTAGTCGAGCCATGACACGCTTACATTCGGACTCGGTTAGAAATTTCGGTCGATCAGAAGGAAAATCATTAATAAGAAAGAAGGCCAGCACTCCAACAATCACTGTGAGGATGCCTTCAAGGTAGAAGATCCAACGCCATCCTTCTTGTCCACCAACACCGGCCATTTTACTGATACCATAAGCAAGTACACCACCGAAGGCACCAGCAAGAGCAGCAGCTGAGAAAAAAATACTTATACGCCATGAAAGCTCGCGTCTCTTGTACCAACTCGAGAGATAGAAAGAGACACCTAGATAGAACAAAACCATGAACAGATATGTCTGAATTGACTCTCCTTCCCTATACCTGGAAAAAGACCTGATTCAAAAGCACCCAAAAACAGACGACATGCAAGAAGACCTCCATATGAATTCACCAGACCCATCAGTGTCATTACGATGCCCCATGCTACCATGATCGTTGGTATCCATCGACTAGGTCGTAGTCGTTTCAATATCAGATTCGATGGAATTTCGAAGATAACATAAGTTACGAAGAATACACTAAGACATGCATTGTATTGATTACTACTCAGTTTCAATGACACTGTTAGACCATCGAGTTTTGCCTGGCCAATATTCACTCGATCGAGGTAACTCAGAAGATAGAGTAATGTCATAGTTGGAATTAGGTGCCAGTCCATTTTGCGCAGCAGCTTTTTGTCTTGTGGATCATCTTTTTCGTCATCTTTGATAACAATATTTACTTCTTGTATGTCAAACTTTGTCTTGTCAGATTCAGCCTTGACAGAGTCTGTCTCGATAGAATATATATCGACAGAATATGTTTTGTCAGATTCAGCCTTGACAGAGTCTGTCTTTTCAGACTCTGTTTTGACAGAGGAAGACAGACTGTTGTTTTCATTAGCGCCAAGATTGCTCATAGTATTTGCCCAATGGTACTGTTGTCAGGAATGGCCTACTCTACACGAACAATTTTATGTATATGCGCAGAAAAACAAAGATAGTAAACTAGAGAAAGATGACAATATTCAAATGTGTAGCTCTGAGCGTCCAAATTTTATCATAATGTTGTCAGGCAATTTATGGTCGTTCTCTTCCGAAAGGAAAACAAACATGTGCTTTAAGGTGAGCTCTCTACGCTCCATTTGATTCATCGCTATGATGTGTAAACGAAATAATATAGAATGCAGCGACCATAAAGTACGAAAAATGTAATAGTATACAAAATTTTTTTGCTCTTTTTTTTGTTATACGTAGAGATAGGAAGCTTAAGGAAGTGACTAAGACTATGCGTCTTTTTAAAATTTATTCTGCATAAATTTTGATAAGACAAAATTTGAGATTCTTGATAGTCTGGGATGAGTCAGTTTTTCTCAAAGTACGTCTTTCATACCAAAACACTGACAGATTGGTTCTTTCGTCGAGAACTCTTTCTTTTGATATGAATTATAAAATTGATATGTTCAGATACATTATGAAAAGTTGAGTCTGTGAGACTAATTTTGAAATTAGTCTCACAGGGTTAGTTTTTCAGTATGAAAAACGTATTTTTAGAAAAAACTGACGCATTCAAGACTAGCAAAAATCTCAAAGCGTGTCTGATAAACAGTTTTCAAAGGAAATCAAAAAAAATGCATACATGCTCTTAGTCAACTCGTCTAACTTCTCTAGGTACGCTTAAAAAAACGAAAAAACAATTTACTTTAGTTTTTTAATTTTTGATATCTCACATAAAAAGGTAAAACAATTTTTAGGCACTATTATGATCGTAAATAAAGATAAATGTGCTTGATTTCATTTGTGAAAATTGCCTCAAACCATGCAGATCACTGCACCACATCAGATCTACAATTTTTCATCATAAGTGAGAAGTATATCATTGACATCGAACATTCTTTAGGCGTCCAGACAGTCAGAGAAATCACTGCATGAGAGTTGAAATAAGTATTTCATTCGGTTGTAACAGACAATCTGTCACTACAAGCATTCATTGCATTTTAGTCGGCAGGACCAATAATTTTGTTAAATTAATGTCTTGTGACGAGGACATTCATCCACTGGAGGTGAATGTACGTGATGATATTTTTTGAATATTGTTTCACCGTGACCTATTCTAAGTTCAACAAACGTGCATGTCACTTCAATCTTGCATAGATATGTTTCAAAACAGATATCAAAAAGCGAGAATAATGAACACATTCAATCAAAATACACGTAACATTGATTATGACAAAACAGAGCTCAAATAACTGGATCCATAAAAGTTATTCTACACAGAAAAGGGCGTACACTCTTCATTCATACTGAGAAAATAATACTACTACATAGTACAACAAATATGACATAAAAGATGTAACATCGCTTTCACATAATATTGAATTCTCGTAAATTGTACCATTTTCTGACAACAATAATTTTCTCGTCTCTATTCTGTTCATCGATGAGTTTGATTTTGATGGCACAAATTTTAAGTGCACATATCGGACTGATACTTGGTCAATCAACCAAATACATTATCGTACCGAGCTCATTACGATACGAGGCACTGCCACATACTACTTTTCTTCAAATATAAAATAGCTAACATGATGCATCAAGCGCACAAGATAAGCAATCAGTTTCTATCATTTGATTGAAGAGACGCAGTGAGATGATCTCAGAAGATGACTGCACACCAATCGGTTAAGTTCATCGCTGCAAGTACGATACAATACATTGCCTGTTAAACTAGTTTGTTGTTTGTCACTACTATGAACAATTCACAAACACTGAATGAAAATAAAGAAATGGCTTTGCTAAACATACTCGTTCTTTTAAATATATCAATAGAAATTTGTTAGCATTTCTTGTCAATATTGTCTCAATAAATAATATCAATGTATCATACTTCACATCATAAATATGACAATATTTATAAGTATTTTTGACATTTCAATATTTTATCGATAGCTTTTCAAATCATAAAATTGCGAATAAATCAAATTTTATCGAATTTATCAAATAAAATTTATCTATGTGTCCAATTAGCAGAATTCTACAATAAATCTTTTTATTGAGACAATTTTTTCCAAAAATCTTTTAGATATGTCTGTAATATACTTAATTTTAATTCTGCTGTCTTCAGTTGTAGAAATTAAGAAGCAAAAATGTTTGTATATATCAACTAGATGAATTCAAAAATTTCTTAAAGTATAAAATTTATTTCATATTGTAGTATTGTACATAATAATTAAAATAAGAGAACATCTATTCCTCATGTAAATACTCTTGTCGTTGTCTTTTTCTACAGTCAAACCTTTTTACAAAATCCAGTTTACTGTTATGTATTTTCTTTGATTTTTTTTTACGATATTATACAAGATATATTGAAAAACAAGCATTAAAAAACCAATGAATAACAACGATATATGCAGACAGAATATAACAACTTCGATATCAATATACGTTGGAACAAACGATAGACTTTGTCTGAACATAGAAGCCTTTTTTGTGCATTTTCATAAATCAGATTTTCTTTAGGTTGTATGTATATATCAAATGCAAGAACATCATAGAGAATCATGTGTTTTTGCTTCTAATGATATAAAACTATTTATTAAACAAATTTAAGGTTTACATTAATTTATGTACAATTGATCTCAATCACCTGACAATTTAATAATTGTTTTTTTTTTATTAATAATGAGACAATAGGAAAAAAAAATTGAAATGACTAGTAAAACCAAGGTTCATTTACCAGATGTAGTCAGTTGTTTATTTGGTTTTCTTTTCATAACATGATTAATATAAGATTCTAATTCGCGTAATGTTGATGGTTTAAGTATTTCAAAATCAATTTCCATTTCATCTCGACTTGAATCACGTAATGATGGTTCTCGTTTATAAATAATCTATTTAGAAAAGAAAAAAATAATAATAATAATAATAAATTTTAAAACAAAAATTATTTCTAAACAAACAAACCTCAACAACAGGACCAAGTTTTTCACTTGGTAAATTATTAATATCAATACTTAATTGACGTTTTTCATCATAAGTCATTGGTCTAGAATTTTCTTCACTTTGAATATCGAACATTGATGAAGCAGGAGTTGTTGTATTTTTCTTTGGTGCTCTATAGAATAACATGAATAGCAAAAAAAAAATAAAACAAATATTAAATCTATTTTTCTTACTAACCGTTTAACTCCTGTTGAACCAGCTGCGGGTCCACGACGAGCTTGTTCTGTACCTTTATTAACATTTGTTTTATTCGCAGTATTTTTTGTTGCTTTCATTTGTTTTGGAGGACTTATATCTCCTGAATTATATGGATCTACAGGTGCATTATTAAATTGACTAGTACCATTAGGAGTAATTGAAGTATTCGATGTAAGTAAACTTGCAAGTGAAGATGTCGTTTTTTTAGTTGCCATAGCTACAGTAGAAGGATTACGTGTAGCTGTTTGTGGCATAGGATTCATTGAAGTTCCTTGTACAGCATTAAAAATATTCGGTGATAATAAAGATGAATGTGTTGGTGATAAATGTGGTAAACGATTTGATTCATTTATCGTACTAATTAATGGTAATGCTCCTGAAGGACCATCTTTCATTTGATTTCGTTTTATTTTACGTTTATAACGTAATGTTATACGATCACTTGTTTGTTGTATTAAATATGTCAATGTACTACCAATAACTTTCACCTTAAATTATATTGAAAAAAAAAGAAAAACGTACAACTTATTATTTAAATATCATTACGATCGTCATGATTGAATAACTGTGTTGTTCGACATGTATTTACAAGATACTATGTGCAAACATCAGAATGACTCTGGATAAGTCACTCACAGTTATTTGTCTCAGACGATCTGACCAGATTTATTTTCATTTTAATCACATTTTCATACTGACTGGTGTGTTTTACACAACAGAGCACTGTGTGAAAATGTTGTGAACAAAGTGAAAATATTCATTCGTCCGATAGTATGCCAGCTATGTTATGACACGCACTTGCTCTTGTAATTAGTCAGTGTGAAGCAACTGACGAAGGAATATCTCCAGGTGTTAAATTGCTTTTCGACGGTGACGATATTCATTTGATGTGTGATAGAAAAATCTAGAATGATTTGTTTTTTTTTGTTTTCAAGAGAAGGCTGTCGTGACGTAGATAATCGAATTTTGATTTCAAATTTTACCACGAACAAAATCCTTAATGAGATAAGCTGCTTTTACAACTAGTATTTCCTTTCAGAAGATGAACAAAATTTGCTTTTATACATGACAGAATTTTGAATATCTCAGCATAGGACACACTAGAAAAATTATAACTTGCCTGATGTACTGTTCTCATTTAGAACTTTTTTAGCGTAGTACGGAAAAACTAAAACATTTTCGATTTTTCAATTACTGATCGTCTCATTCAAAAAGCAATTCACACCTGAAGTTTTCTTTATGATCACAAGAACTTCGCATCACTTCTAGCTATAAGTGTAGAGGAGATATCGAACTATGAAATCTGTTGCCCGACATCATCCCATATCACACAAGATAAAGATTTTTTGTTTTTCCTTAAATCATTCAATTAAAGATATTTACTTGTTCTTGAAGAGAATATAATTGTTGTAAAGTATTTTCTCTATTATTATCAATATCATCTGAACTATCATCACTTGATAGACCATCATCTGAACTTGTTATTAATGATGATGTATGTCCACCAGCACTACTATTATGTTTTGATGAATGTCGTTTACGTTTACGTGCTGTTGTTGTGGTTGTTGTTGTTGTTGTTGTTGATGATGATGTTGGTAATAAACCATTATTACTACGTATATTTGACGGTGATGGATCAATATCAATATGTGTTGTAGATATATCTTCGGGTAATTTTGAAAATCTATCTTCAAACATTTGCTAAGAAAAACAAGAAGAAATACGAAATATTCAAATATTAAAAATTATATTTAATTATAAATTGGAGAAAAAACAAAAAAAAAAAAATATTCTGTTATTTTTACTTCAACTTTTTTACACATAGCAACAACATCTGTTTGAGGTCCATTATAAAGATAACAATTGCTAAATATAAGTCGTACATCGGTAGCAAATTCATTGGCTGATGCATATTCACGATTTTCAAGTTTTTTCTTTTAAAGAAAAATATTGCAAAAAAAAAAATAATTTTTGCTATATTTTATTTTTTTCTTTTACCTTGACTGTACCAAGATCCATTGGTTTTTTAATTATTTGATAATAATCTGATAGATTAAGATTTTTGACATCAACAGGTTTAGCAAATGGCCAAACAAATGGCTAAATAAAAAATAATAAACCCAATTTTCGTTTAGAAAAAAAAAATAGTTGAAATATTTCTTTTTTTTTTACTAGATTTTTCTTATGTAATAATTCTTTGACAATATGTTGACAAAATTTTAACTGTTCCGTCATTCGATGTTTTGATCGTTTAGTTGATGGCTAAAAAAAGATTCTAAGTTTTATTGAAATAAAACAAAAAAGATTTTCTTGGTTTACATCATTTGATAAATTAATATCATATTTAGTACGTTTTGATGTTCCTATTGGACCAATTGGTCGTTTTGTTGTTGTATCATCATCCAAATCACTTTTACGTTTTAAATTCTGAATATAATTTATTTGTAAAACGATATAAAAGTCTTATTAAAAAAAACAAAAAACATACTGATACTGATAAATCTATATTTGAAAGTGATGTTGTATTAGACATTAATGGTTGTTCGCCGGATAATCTTGGCGACATAGATTGACTATTTTGATCAATATGATTTGAATTAGTATTAGTATTTAATGGAGAAAATGGTGATGTGACAGCACTAGGATTTGTTGTTGTTGTTGTCGTTGATGTTAGAGTGCGAGGTAATACATTCGTACCATTTAAAAGAGAATTATTTACAGGACGTGTCGATGGAGATGGTGCTAAATTAAATTTTTCATAATAAATCAATAAAATTCAACTAGAACGTTTAAAAAAAACTAAAGGATATGATAGTTTACAAAGAATGAATATATTTATTCTTGCAGACAAACACTATCTATATTCGTATTTTAATATGAATGTCTTCCGAAAGGCAAAAAAATCGGCGAACGGGAAGAAATGCATAACTACAGAATAAAAGCTTCATCTTAGACAAATAAACTAAGCCAATAAAAAAAAACGAAAAATAAAGAAGTCGCTATAAGTAAATTGCTAAATATCATAAAAGAAGCATTTGTTTTTTTCTCATACATGTAGCATATCCGATTTTCCTGAAATTGTATTGAAATCAATACAAAAATGAAAAACTTTTTGAGGATATGAATACACGAAGATCCATACTTCATTTTTGTAGACGTCTTATTAACTTCAATAGTAAATTTCTATTTTGTATAATGTTGAAGTTATTTAGTAGACTCATGTATACATACATTCGTCCTTGGACATGTATTCGATCGTGTATATTTCGTTCTATGATGCGTGACTGTTTTTTCCTTTCTCTTATCGCTAATATAGATATCTGTCGTTTTTTTTTACGTCTAATGAAGTGAGAGCGCGAGCTACTTTGGCTAGTCTTGCTAGTGTTCGTTTTCTTTTTTTTTTTTTTTTTTATAGAGGTTTCGAAATTATAGATTCATATTATGACTTGTAAAGTTATAAAATTCTTATGGATGACCTTGTATAAGCAACTACTGAATACTATTTTCAAAAATAAAATGTTGTCTAATGATACTAGAAGAAAAGTTATAGATGATTACTTTTTTCAGAGTATTCATGAATATACTACGAATTATTTGACTTATTAATGAACAAAATTTCATTGTGAAAATTCACTAAAATGATTGTAACTAGACTCTAAAAGATCAATGTAAAGAAATTCTTTTAGATTTCTACTAGTCTCATCAATAAGTTCCTATAGGTTCAATATGAATCTAAATGATGAGTATCAATTCGAATGATCCTCTTATTAGCGTATATCAAAAGTAGTAGTAGTATAGAATATTTTTTTATATGTATGTACTAATAGCAAAACGATATCCTATATATCATTATTCGTTAATTATTATCATAATAATGAAATTTCAATAAGAATTGTTCTGTTTGCTACACGACAATAATACTAAGAGCAATTTCAAAGAAAAAAAAAATTTCTATTGATATTTTTTTTTTACATAAGAATGTTTACGAACATTGAGGAAACTTCTCGAGACTCATATGTTTAGATTGAATCATTTAACCGTCATACTTGTAACTCTATCTAGATTTTTCTATTAATTTCTATGAAAAAAAAAAAATCGTAAGATACGATTCAATGATCTTTTACCGTTTTTTTTTCTTCTAACGATGATAAGTGTCGCTTTCTAAGTGATGTCTACCAAAAGCTATTCAAAAACCACTTGCCCACATTTGTTTTTCTTTCCAATGGCCGTGAGTCTTATCGTGATTATCATAACACACAACTCTTATCGAAATTTTATTACTATGATACTAGTTGAAGAATAATAAAATAGAGAACATCGTTTTTATTATCGATGCATATATAAAATTTCCTATTGGATAATAATGTGCCAGCAGCACAGAGACGTATCCAGGATTTTTCAGTATGTTGAACCTCGATGTCTGAGCATGGGATCCAGATAAAACTCATGGAAGGTGGTGTTGGATATAAATGATGGAATTTTATCAAAAAAAATTTGCACTCGGAGTTTGCGAAAAAAATTAGCATTTTCCTGATCCTCCCCTCTAAAATTGTTTGCTCTTAGGAATATCATGGTTTTTAGAATTTCATAGGAAGCTACACCGAATTTCATCGACAGATTTCAAATCTCGTCAAAAAATATGCAATCGTTCCACAGTTATGACATTTTGAAATTATGCAAAAATTGTTTTCACATGTAGCAAAAATTCAAAACGTCATAACTGTGGAACGGTTGCATATTTTTAGACGAACTTTGAAATCTGTCGATGAAATTCGGTATAGCTTCCTATGAAATTCTAAAAACCATGATACTCCTAAGAACAAAAAAATTTAGAGGGGGGACCAGGAAAATGCTAATTTTTTTCGCAAACTCCGAGTGCAAATTTTTTTTTTGATAAAATTCCATCATTTATATCCCACACCACCTCCCATGAGTTTTATCTGGATCCCATGCTCAGAAATCGAGATTCAACATACTGAAAAATCCTGGATACGTCACTGCAGCAGCATAAATTTCTTTTTGATTTATCTAAACACTTATAACATATCGGAATGATATGATGTTCAACAAATTTCTTTTTAAGATGCATAAAACTTCTAACTATTTCAAAAATCAAAATCCAAGTAAAGTACTTCTTTCCCTTCCAACGATTTCAAAACACATGAAAACAAAAAACGAAATTTCACTATCATGTTTTAATGTGTCTATAATTATCATTAAGTAAACTGAAATAACGTTCACAAAAACTAAATAGTCAAATATCTTCTAGACATACATGGTGAATTAATAGGTTCACTTGGAGTTGATGGTGAACGAACGGCAGCTGTAAAACTTCCATCAGTAATATTTTTTGTTGCAGATGATTTTGATGTATGAGGTACGATTTCAATTTCCTATGAAACAAACTATTTTATAAAGTTTTTCAAAAAAATTAAATTCAATTTCTTACATCTGACGGCATTTCGGCTAATTTTTCATAGAATATTTTTTCAAGTGTAGCTCCCATCACTACAACATCCTAAAAATTATTTCGTTTTTTTATTTTTAATATGAAATTTTTTTTTTTTTTTTTTTCTTCTTCATTACTTCGCCTGGTTTATTATATAAGTAACAATTTGAAAACATTAAATTTAAATCTGTAATACATTCTTTAACACTATAATAATAATTTGTATCAAGACGTTTCTTAATTGTTCCAAGATCCATTGGATATCGAACAATTTTATGATAATTCTATAGTAATACAAACATAAAAAAATATAAATTTATTTTCTATTCAATAATGAAGAAATTATTATACAGGTAAATGAAGTTTAACTGGATTGACAGGTTTTTGAAATGGCCAAGAAAATTCATGTTTCCACAAAAATTTTAATATAACTTTTGACATGTATTGTAATTGATTAGTTTGACGGCCCCGCTTTGTTGCCGGTACATGTGGTAATTTTAATGGATATGTATTTGTCGTCTTGAATTTATAAATAATGAGAATAAAGAAAACAATATACAAAAGAACAAGAAAAAAAAGTATTCACCTTCATGATCAATTTTGTTTTTATAAGAAGAAAATTACCATGAATACGATGATAAGAACAAATGACAATCGTCTGGCTTTATCTCAAAGAAAATCTTACTGTTTAAATAATTTTTTTTTTTTCGTGATAGAAAAAAGAAAATATTTGATTACAATATATTGAGGTGATTCAGCGTAAGAGAAAATAAATGACAGGACTTGATAAATAGGTGATTGAAAGAAGAAAAAAAAAAACAAATAATTAGAAACAATAAACGATCGCCCTATTGCTTTTTTTGAGTGTGAACCTTCACTATTAAATTGATGTGTGAAAGTGCATTGATATCTTAGTTATTTATATTTTCTTCTTTTAATTAAAATAAACAACATAGATTTGTTTATTTCATTGAATTATGATAAATAATAACAGGTAGATAAATAAATTGTCTCAATAGATAATCAATGATGTGCATAGATGTCGCATTGATGCAGTGGTTTTGTTTTTGAATGTCAATAGGAATAGACGATGGGGAAGATACTCATTGAAAAAGAAAGAATTCAGTATTTCAAATGATAATCTGGGAAGATCATTGTGATATTCGGAAAATGGTCATAAATTGTCATGTTATTGCACTAGGTTTCATCATATTTTTACTGTAATCTCTCGTCCTGTTCTATTGGTAAGTGGATTATATATACTGAACATTCGATTTATTGCTTACATATTATTAATGCAAGCAAGGAATTTTTAGAATCGTATTTACTTCAGTTTATATTAAACCGTATAACTTTGAAACAATCACTTACTTTTCTCTAGCAGAAAGTGAAATAGAAATAGATCGTGGGGAAGAATAGCATGGCGTAGAGATCGAATCACAGTGGGTTTTGTTCTTTCCCTTTTCGTCGGTCACTGCTTCAAGCACTCCGAGGATAAAATCGCTTTGAAAACTCTACGGGTAACTATTCAATATTGAGTTTGCTTCCTAATTATAACACGTAGTTAAAATTAAGTTCATAATAAAGAAAAATAATAAAGTATTGAGTAAAGATGAACAAATAGAAATACATTGTAGAACTCTTTATAGAAATGCACCATTTTTGATTGACAAAAGTATTATTTGTACTCTAATGTATGTTTTCGTTTACCTCTTTGATATAGTAAGCATCAATATAATATAATAATAGATAATTATTCATATTTATGTACAGAAAATGATCCATCAATAATACTATGACCAACAAATGAAATATCTCCGCTACAGATTATTCGATTAGTAATAGAAGTTTATTGAAATTTTTTTTTTTTATGTCAACATGAATCAGGTAAGCAAATAGCACTATTATTAGTCTTATCAAAGAAATTTATCGTATTGTCACGTATTAAAAATACACTCATAATACTCTAAAATCATTTTTCAATTGTTACCTTGGAGAACAGAAAAGAAGAAGAAATTAAAAATACACTTTAAGAACGATTTTACAATAGATTACACAGAGTAAGTTTTCAAGATTAGTTAGTCTTTATCTTAATATTCATATTCGGCTTGAAATTTGTTAGATAGTAAAATACTACTTTCTCTCATAAAAAATTTCAGTGTTTCATGTTTGAAAATTCGAACTAATGGTATCGTTAACTTTTTTATTTTTTTTTACTAATCTTGAAACTTTATTTTATATATATCCTGTTATGATATCATTCATACAGTTTATTTTCATTACTTTTTTTTTATTCTCTTAGATAACAATTAACTACACAGACGTGTTTTTCTTATTCGACAATAACAAGTCAGATTTCTTTAGTAAAAATAACAATAGCAGTATGTTTTTACACGAAATTCATATGACAACAAAAAAAAACAAAAGCTTTGAATAAACTTCTGTCATTCATTAAAAAATTAGCCTATTTTGAATCAATTGTAATGAAGATATTTGAATTTTTTAACGTAATAGTATTATATAATCAATCCTGTATATTACTGATATCTATCACATTAAAATCGATAATAAAAAAAAAAAAAGAAATGATCTTTTCATTGGTATGAAAATTAAACTAATCAAATAAATTTGAAATTCTTCCTTTTTTTCTTCTTCCTTTTTATTTTGAAAATTTCCAACTTAATGTCATAGAATTTCTTTATAAATTTTTGTCTCAAATACATAAAAAGATGAGAAAATTATTTTTTTCTTAGATTCAATTTAAAATATGTCACCTGATATAAATGATGAACTTCAATTTACATCATACAAATTTCAAGATTTAAATGATTCTATTATTGTAAATTTTTATGCAAAAGGAGCTTTTGAACAAAAAGATCTTGAGGTTCTTCCTGATATTGATTCTCTTGAGGTTTCAACACCAGGTATTTCAAAATAAACGAATAATATAACAATGTTTTTGACAAAAAAAAAAAAAAAAATGCAAACATAATATTTATTTTTAGCTGGTGAGAAATGGAAATTCCAATTATATGATAATATTTATTCTGATAGAACTGAAATAAAAACTGAGATAAATGAAAGTAAAACACAAACAACAATTACATTAACTTTATATAAACAAGCACATACAATGTGGCCACAACTGTATAGTCTTCGAACAACCCCAATTACACCACAACGAAATGGTCTTAATAAAGATATGAATAATCAAGAAATACATTCGTCTATTGAACCACAAGAACCGTATGAATTATCAATAAAAAAATTAAGAACTGAGTTTCTAGAAACCACGTATGGCATAGTCACATCACGTATTTTTATAAATCAAGTATATAATTGTCGAGTACAATTTGGTGAAACTAATTTTACGGCTATATTTTGTACAAAGTTCGAACAAAACTCAATGAATTGAATAGTTTTTTTGTAAAATTCCATATTTCTTTTTTTGTTAGTGATGATACATTTCTTCAACTTCATTCAATACCGCCTAAAAAACCAATTAGATTATTTGTTCGTGTTAAACACCGTATTATATATGCTCAATGTACCCATTCAGTTACAGACACATATATTGAAATAAAACTAATTAAGGAAAGTGAAATGATTACGTGGAATCAACTGGAACCAGATGAATATTATGACACTCGTTTAATGATGCATTCATCAGCATTATCAACACAACCTCGATCACAACCAAATCACAAGTCCGGAATGACTTACATAGATCCAGGTAAGTTTTAATCAATAAAGTAAATTAAATAGAAATTATTTTGACAAGATTTTATTAAGATTACAAATGTATGAAACTAAGTTTTAAGTTTAGTACGAGTTTTTTGTCAATCTGATTGTCATTGAGACAAAATATTTGAAGATAGTACAAATGTAACTATTTTGTTTTTTGTTCTCGATTTCCTATTTATTGAATAGATATGAAAACTAATTCGACATATTTATATTATTGACTTTTCTATGATATTTTCATTTATTTATGTTCAAACTAAACTCGTACAAGCTTTGTGGCTTACTATTTTTGAATTCAGATTTTGGGCGTATGAAGAAAACTTCTAGCTTAGAATCATTTTCAGAGAAGTCTGATCCGTACGTCTTCGCAGCAGAACAACGAAAATGTTGCTGGATTTCTATTACAGGAAAATGTATTCAACAGATAATTTTTAATTTGAAATTTCGTTTATAAATAAATCTCATGATCTTCGTAATATTCTAAAAGTTTTAATGAATAACAATAATTTTGTTTTTCTTAAAATAGTTCATGTGTAACAGTCAATTAGATTCTAGAAATTCTCAGAAAAATTGGACGTTTCTAAACATCGAATAGTTCAAGAAACAGATGAAAACGTTATGACAGTAACTTGTTTGAATATTCTTAGAATTTTGAAATCTACTTATAAACACAATTTCAGGTCGAAAATTCTTTGTGAAATTTTTCTGTCAATACATCTGTCTATGATGAAAATCCAGCAAGATTATCATAACTCTGTTAAGGAAACTTACGAACTTGACTTTATTTAGGATGATTCTAGTCTAGAGATTCTCTTTATATGGCCAAAACGTGAACTCAAAAAGGAAGTATCACATCGAACAGTTTTCTTGTAACATTTATGATGAACAAATCAAATTTCATGCGTAAGTTTATATATGATAGATCTCTCGTCAAATCTATAGTTTTACAAGTCATTATGAAAGTATCTTTTCATTATTAATTAGATTTATTACATTTCATTGATAAAAATATGTGTCTCAACATTTCTTTAGCTAATAAATACATCTAATTATATATGTTTTGTCTATAATTTTTGTCCCTAGATTCTTCTTCTTCATCATCACTACAATCCAACAATCGAATGGTAGAACCATTTTTATTTTAAATTCATATATTTTGTCTTATTTTAGTCAGATAAATTTTCTGCTCGATCATCATTTAATGTAAAAGATATAGTACAAATGCCAAGTATATCATCACCACCATCAATTGGTTTTACAGGTATATATAATCCGGCTAATTCATGTTTTATGAATTCTGCTGTACAATGTTTATCAAATGCACGTGAATTACGAGATTATTTTTTACGTAAGAAATTCTCTCTTTCTTTATTTTTTAATCAATTGTCATGTGAAAATATGTTTTTTGTATTGAATTTAAATAGAATCATATCATTCTATTGAAATAAATCGAGTAAATCCACTTGGTATGAAAGGTGCAATGGCTGAAGAATTTGGTGATATAATTAAAGAATTATGGGCAGGAAAATATAGTTATATAATTGCAAATCAATTACGAGTTAGTTTCAATTACATTTATTTTGTAATACATACCGTTCATCATCGTAGGATTTTGCAGCAAAGAGACATCAAGAATTTGTTGGTAATGGACAACATGATGCACAAGAATTATTAACCATTTTACTTGATGCTATTCATGAAGTAAAAATTTAAATTGAGAATAGAAAATTTAAATATATATTTTTTTGCTATTTAAGGATCTTAATCGAGTAATTAATAAACCTCTAGTACCACCAATAGAAGATGAAAATCGCCCTGATGAGGTAAATATATATATACATTTACTTAGGATGTACCAAAAGTAATGACACCGGCAGTAGTGTATGTCTTATAGAAAACGCAAGAAGTATTTCTCTTTATATACATATATATATGTCATTTCAGACAAAACGAGATATATTCATCTTTCATTTAGCTTTGATTCTTTAGTAGAGCTTTTTTTGAGTAAGTTCTTTTAGCATGGCCATATGTAAAAGTGTGAACTCTTTCGGTTGGTTATTAATATGAACAGTAATTAATGAATATCTCTTGAAACATACAAGAAAAATATCTAAAAGCTTCAGGATAGACTCTACTAGTATGAACCGCATCTATGGTGAAATCTTTAGCAAGATCTAACTCCAAAAAACTAGTTTTATAAATGGACTTATGAAGTCCCGAAACAAAAAATTTTTCGTTTATCATCATCAAGAGATTCTGAAGAAGGGTTTGTAACAATTGAAATTAGTTTTGAACTTTTCATTCGGTTTTAAAAGCATGTTTTTTTTTTTGTACTCCATCATATCGCTAACAATTGATTTGGTGCATATATTGATAATACAAATAATTGTTTTCTATTTTTCCTCTATTCCTTGATTCGTCAGTTAATATAATTATAATGAGATTTCAATCGGAAGTCTACACTTTAGTTTTAAATACATAAAAAAAAAATATTCATTTCTATATTAAAGTGTTCATTGTACGTCCTATTTAGCTAATCAAAAGTTACTAATGGTAACCAATCTATTATATTTGGCTACTAGGTGTTATTTTATAGACGAATTAAAAGATGATGAAAATAATTTTGTAAAAATCTCAAAGAGATTGGAAACAAAACATAACTTGATAAACCTGTAACCGATGTAACATCTTAAACTAGGTTTAAGTATGGATGAAGAGAAGACCCACACTAGCAAGCAACTATCCGGCTTCTCTTAAAGTATGGAGTAAGGTTATTGCCTTATTATTGACGATTTTTATATTACAATTAATAAATTATAAGTGCGAACTGCTGTGAGGCATAGTAAAAGAATAATGAAATATGAAAGAGGTATACAGTACCTTTTGAACTATCTATAAAATATTATAATGTTGATGTCATGACTTTTGATATATCTTAAGTACTATTTGAATAAGTTTTTATTTTTTTGGTGTAAATAGACTATTGCCGATGAATATTGGCGTGGTTATTTAAGTCGAAATGATTCTATAATTGTTCAATTATTTACTGGACAATTCAAATCGAAAACTAAATGTCCACAATGTCATAAAGTTTGTTAAGAAAAAAATAAAAAACAAAAAAACTTCTAGAATATTTTTTTTTATAGGAATCGGTTACATTTGATCCATTTACATCAATATCTGTACCATTACCAAAACATGTATGTGTTGATACAATTGTTACATATCGAAATGATAATAAATCACCAATTAAAGTTAGTTTTATTTTTATTAAAGAAAATCTCGTTAAACATATGTATATATGTTATTGTTTTAGTATCGTATTATTATGTCATCAGATGGTTCAATTGCAGAATTGAAACGTCGTTTATCGAATAAATGTGCTTTACCAGTTGATAAAGTTGTTTAATTCATTTTTGTTTGAGTTTTTCATACATTGATTATGTATTTAGATGTTAGCATATAAAATTTATAATAATAATTCTATAGAATTTCTTAAAGATGAAGATCGAGTTACAGCAAGTACTTATTCATGGAGTAGTTTTGATACAACTTATATGTAAGTTCTTAAATTTTCACACAAATATTTTATTAAACATATTGATTTGATCATTAACGAATAGAGAATTAAAATATTGATTGATTTATTTCCGTCTAGACTTTTGTTTCTAAATTATACTTGAGTTTTTCAATGATAATAATAAATACTATTCAAAACTTCTATTGGTCTTAAAGTTAGTTTGTCGCTCATATATTATATGATCATTTTTGTTATTTTTTTTCACTCCCTTTCTCTATCGTCATAACTAAGTTTTAGCTATATTTCCGGCAGATTCGCATCAAAAATAGGGGTCAGTTCAACAGGAAAACACTGAAAGTCGGCGGAACCTGAAAGACTTCAGATTTTTGCGGTATGAAATAACGGTAAATCATTGAAAAAATCCGGAGTCTTCCGATTGAGCAAGTAGTGTATTAAGTTCATAACATAATTTACGACTGAAGAATTCAATAAAATTTTATGAATATTCAACTGCATCAAATCGATACCAGTTACCGATGGGTCTGTTCTTGTTCGGTTTCATTTCTGTCGAGAAAAATTAATCTCCAATTTAGTTTCTACATTGACTTTTACTCTTAAGATCGATGAGAAAATAATTCCTACTTAATAATCTTTTTTTAATATATCTCATTAAATTCTATTTATGTAAATTACACTTTTATATGAAAGCTTTTTTGAATAAAGCATTATTTTCTTCTAATAATATTCTTCTTTTAGAACTGAAACATTAACAAGTGCTGAATGTAATAATGAAAAAATTATTCACTTAACATTTTTTCAACGTATATTTAAATTACATGATTATATATCATCATGTGCATATTGTCAAGCATCACCAAAACCTAATAGTTTACCGGTATTTTGTAAAAATTGTTATCAAGTATCCTATTGTGATGAGTTAGTTGATTATTTTTTGCTTCGTTTGTTTTTTATTTTAATATTGATCTTATCTAGAGAATGTCAAAAATTTCATATAATGGAACATAAATATAATTGTGAATTTCGTTCAACAGATAATTATGAAACTATTGGTCTTCCATTTATTATTTCATTACCAGAATCGAAATTAACATGTGAAAATCTATTTCAACAAATAAGTATTTATGCTAAGTAAGTTATAAAATCAATAAAAATAAAATAATTTCATTATTACAAAAAAAAATAACCAACAAATGTTTTCTTTTTAAGACGAACTGTACATATCAATATTGAACGTTCGAAACGAAATCGACGATCATTTGATGATTTTAATCGAGATTATAGTGATTTCGATGATTATGGAAGAGCTATTGATGGTGATGATGAAGATAGGTAAATTGAAATTCTTTTAATCGATTAATTTTCATTTGATCAATGAAAATATTTTATCGAAATAACAAAAAATTCTACTAATTATAATGTACGTTTTTTATAAAAAGTGAAAAAATGTTCAAAGATAAAAATAATCATTGATTATGTTCTTTTATGCCATTAGACAGAAATAAAATATACAATATCCTATATTCTTCAAATGATTAGTATATTGATTATTAAAACAAAAAGCAGAAATTTACATAAGAGAGAAGAGCTGAGTCCCTTCAAGCTCCTATCTAAATATGCCACTGGGTTATTCATAATGAGATACTTCAGTTATTTTCTATGTATTTATTCATCAAGGAACGAGAGATTTTATTTATGGTCGAATATATGAATACAATATTCTTGACTTTTCAAGTTATTTGTATATTTATAAGATGCATCTTAAAGTACTGTTCGTACTAAAAATAAAAGCCAAATAATAATGATGGTATCATCTGTTCTCTTCTATTTCTTTGTTCTATTCATTCAAGAATGAATGACTCCTGATGTGACACTTGTATTTATCGAGTCTTTAATTATGGAAACCTTTGAAATACACTGTGGGCATCTAAGTGAACATCAGATAATAAAAATGAAAGTGTACTTTATATATATATAATCTAAAACTATCTTTCACTACCATGTCGATTCATAAAAAAACAAAGAATTTTCACCGAATGCTTCTTCACCTATAACATTTATATAGCGTTCGTGTGAGAGTCTCACAACTAAGCTAAAGATTTTCAAGATAAAACTCAATTTTCTTAGCATAGAAACACTATGATTGAAGGCTAAATTCATATTTGGAATCAGCATCGAACATAATATAATGTTTTAGATGATAGAGAGGCTATATATTAAATGATTTAATTTTGTATGATAAGAATAATTTTGTTTTTTTTTTGAATATTTATTTTATGTCTTGTTCTTCATGCAAAGAAAATATAAATAAGTTGTTTTATTTTTTATTTAGTTTTAGTGATATTGAAGACGTAGATCCAGCAATAATAAAAAGTACACTTTCATCATCTGATTCATGGTCAATAGTTCGTATTGGTGATTATTTTGTTAAAGTAAATAAAAATAAACGACGTTCTAGTCAACAAAATGATGGAAAAGAAAAAATTCTTAAAAGTACACCAACAAATAATAATAATAATGATAATGATGATGATGAAGAAGAATCAATGATTATAAATGGTGAAACTGCTAGCAGTGATAGTATTATGGAAGATTATGATATGCTTGATGATATATTTGGTAATCAACCATTATTTCGTATAATGCCTCAAACAACAAATAATGATAATACTAATATGAAACCAATTATTGAATGTGGTCAGTTATTTATTAAAAGACATAATTGACATTAACTTTTCTATTTATATTTAGGTATTGATGGTGATAGTATTTTACGTTGTCATACAAAATTTTCAATTGATTGGTTTACAGATAATACATTTGAATCACCATTACGTGTTACACCATCAAGACATCGTAGTGGATTTAATGATCTTATTGAAGATGATAGTGTTTTTAAATCTTCTACTGGAGGTTGATAAGAAATATTCTTTCTCTTAAATAATTAATAGTTTGTTTGTTTTTGTGTTTTTTTCTTTCTTTCTTCAAGATCAAGATGTTACACTTCAACAATGTCTACAATTATTTATTGAACCTGAAGTATTAGGTCCAGATGATAAATGGTATTGTCCTAATTGTAAAGAACATATTCAAGCTGAAAAAAAAATGTCTATTTGGCGTTTACCACCAATATTAATCATACATCTTAAACGATTTAAATATAATCAATATTCATCATTTGGTTATATGTCTAGTTCAAGAGAAAAAATTGATACAACTGTTAAATTTCCAATACAGTATGTACAAGAAAAATAAGAAAAAAAAATTTTAAAAAGAAATTATTCTTTTAGTGATCTTAATATGGCACCATATTGTTCATCAATAATCGAAGAAGATCAACATAATGATAATTTATCTCAACCTCGTTATGATCTATTTGGAATTATTAATCATCGTGGTTCAGCATGGTTTGGACACTATACATCATATGCAAGACTATTGGCTTTTAATGATTCAGCAAAAACAGAAATAGGTAAAAACAAAAACAAATTACGAAAAGAAAAACAAAATTTATTATTAATATAGGTTGGCGACATTTTGATGATCAATATGTTTCAACACTTGGAAATGTTAAAGATCTTGTTCGATCTGATGCTTATGTTCTTTTCTATCGTCATCGTCATTTATCAATTAATTTTCCTTTACAAGAGCAATTACAACGTACTCGATCAGAATCAACAACTACGTAAAAAACAAATACTACTTATATAACAATCCATTGATAATATATTATATATATATTTGAATAATATTGAGTTTTATACTTTCTTTCATCTTTCTATTCAAGATTTTTCAACTAACTGTGATTTTTTTGTATTTATTTTTTGATATAAAAATAACTCGTGTGTGGGTGTGTGTGTGTGTGCATACGTTTTTGTTTCCTTTGATATATTCGTATTGAAGAAAAAGATGGTAAACTTACTAAAAATAATTTAATTATATGATAATTTTTGTTTCTAAATGAAAGAAAGGTTGAGCTATTTTTGTTCAGGTTATTTTTAGTAAGTTTGTGAATCATTCAAAACAACTGTCATTAAAAAGAAAAAACAAAGCAAGTGTGTTCTTTTGTTTAGTTAATTTTTTTAAATGAAAAATAAATAAAACATTTGAAACAATCATTTTCTTAAATAAATGAATCATTATGTGAAAAGTGAATAACATTTACATTATTTTATCAAAGAAGACGATATTCTTTTAGTATTTCACAGAACATCTGTTGATATTTATAATAAGAAACGAAATTTATGAAATGAAAAATATTTTGTTCTCGAAATTTCTCGAATCAATGGAGACGATTAATTATACAAATGTTACCATCATCCCTGATCAAAAAAAGAGAAAAAAAATAGATACGCATATATATGTCATAGTTTAATGATATTTTTGACAAATGATAGAAAAACAAAAAATATAAAAGAAAAAAAAATATGAAAAGAGAAAAGGAAAAGAACGCATACTATACAAAATATACTGTCTTAGCCAAAAAAAAGTTATTGAGTCATTTTCTTTTTTCTATACTAGTGCATGTTTCGTAGGCAAGTGTAAAAAAAAAAAGAAAAGGGTAATAAAAAAAAAAGAATTGCTTTCACTTCTTTTTTTGTGCCATGATTTTTCTTATTTATCTTTTTCTTTTGACTGAATCATGTAGATGACTAACTTCTAATCTTAACTGAAATTCAATCTTTAATTCACTATCACTATATATCGCCTACATAATTCTTTCGTTTTTCTGTTTTTTTTTGGCAATTAATAAACATGTATATATACATGTATCTGTATATATATATATATATGTATGTATATACATCAGCAATTATTGTCAATAAAAAAATATGCGCCAATGTTGATGACGTATTTATGTATATGCATCTGGTGTATGTTGGACAAGATAGATAGGCAAGAATACCAACCCTATCTAGAGTCGTTTGTAAAGCATAAACAAAAGAGATTGTTTTTTATTATTATTCATACATAGCACAAATATTATGTGCTCTATCGGTAAGGTGTCTTTGTTAATTTTTTTTTGGCCTGTTTCTCTATCGAAAAAAACGAAGAGAAAAAAGAAAGATCATATCTAATAAAGAATCGATCACAAACTATATATATATATATATGTATGTATATATATGTTTGCATACCTATACAAAGGTAGTTAATTGAGTAACAGACAACCAGTGGTAAAACCAATCTATTATTATCATCATATCATTATTGTGACTTTTTATTTTTACCTTTTGTTTATTCGATAAGAAAAAAAGCTGCAAGGACACATACAAAATACATATACTCTTACATATATATATATATATGTATCTTTATATATGTATATATATTATATATTATATATACACGATAATAAAAAGATAATTACGTTTTTTAGATTTGTATTTTAGTTAAATAAGAGCCAGAAGAAGACAACGAACATGTCATCAGGTTATTCCTCTTCACGAACATTTCATGAAGAAAGTCGTCGTGGAAATGGTGGTTATGGTGGTTATGGTACACCATATACTTCACAAGTGACTGTACCTATTCAACAATCAACAAGTAGTTTTAATAGTTCACTTAATGAACAACGTTTACAAGACCGTCTTCGTAATCAAGAGACAACAGTACAATGGGTCAATGATCCTATAAGCGGACAGGAAAAATTTCGAGTGACGATTGATATTAATGGCTTTGACCAAAATGAAGTACGTTAATATTAGCAATTTTACCTTTGTAAAAAAAACAAACTTGTTTACGCATTATAATTAGGTTAATATGCGTGTTGAAGGTAATAGACTTGTTGTTTATGGTGAACATCTTGAAAATAAAAATCAAGTAAGAATAAATTAATTCCATTCAACTTTTTATATTCTATTATTTTATCTAAAATATATCTATATTTTATAGAATACAGCAAAAAAAAGTATCGAAAAAACTTACGATTTACCTCGTGACATCGATACATTCAGGTAAAAAAAAAAGAAATCTTAATTACTCTATTTTTCTATTTTTTTATTTTTGCAGTCCACGGGTAACATTTCCAACACCAATAACGATGCAAATTGATTTTCCATCACGTCATTCAAATGTAATTGTTGATGATGGTCGTACATCTTCAAAATATTTATCTAATTATGATACATCTTATCGTACATCACCACGATTTTCTCGAGAAAAAACTTCAAGTGAATATACATCAACAAGAAGACTTGGTGGTGGTGGTGGTGGTAGTGGTGGTACTAGTACTTATGGCCAAGGTTCAAGTAAAATAAATATCTTAATTTTATTTATATGTATATATATATTATAAAATACTTATTTTAGCTCCACGTATATATTCTACTTATGATGATATTAATACTGGTCGTAATAATATATATTCATCAACAAGTCGTTATAGTCCAACATATAGATATAATGCAACAACGGATGATATTCCACCACGAATAATATATCCATCAACAACAACTGGTAATAATGGTAATGTATATGAAAAAAAATTTAGTGAAACACATCGTGAAAGTCATCATAGACGTTTAAGTCCAACAACAGGTGTACAATCATCACATGAAGTAGAACATCAGCGTTCTGGTAGTCCATCATTATCTAGAAGTTTAGATGAAGATCGTTTTCGTACAAATCTTACTATTGGTGGTATTAATAGTAGTATAATACCACCAGCATCATCACGTAATGTTGAAGTACGTGAATATTCACGACGTTTTGGTGATAATTTAAATGATAATAATACATATAATTATAATTATCAACCATTATTATTACCATCAAGTTTCAATTCTGATGCATTTTATCGAAGTGCTTTTCAACCACGAATATTTGCAGATGAGCGTGGTCAAAATCGTATTGAAATGAAACTTGATATACAAAAGTATCAACCAGAGGAAATAAAAGTATATGTTAATGGTAATGATCTTATTGTTGAAGCTGAACATAATGTTAATCGACCACCAACAACATCATCACGAGCTTATTTTTATAAACAAACAACATTACCACCAAATACAGATTTAAGTAGTTTATCATCACAATATTATTCCGATGGAAAACTTTATATTACAGCTAAATTATCTAATGCACAACCTTCAATTAGATACAACTAAATTTTTTTTTTCTTTTTTTCATTATCTTTTTTTTTGCTTTCAGCTTGGAAGATTCATTCTTTTTTTTTTGTTCCTTTTTAATTTAAATAAATATACATAAATTTCGCACAGTATTTATTTAAGAAATTTTAATCAAATCATATAAATGATTTTTATTAACGTTTGATTACAGAGTTCTGTTATATTTGAGAAGTAACATTACAAGAGCTTGAATTAATGGCACTTGATCTCAAGCTGAGAATCAAGGTAAAAATCGAATATAACTGAAGATGAAATATTAAATTACAAGAAGAACATTTTTATATGTAATGTTAAAACAACGATTTCATTGAATGCAATTGCAAAATTAATCTTCCTTCAGAAATATCATAGAAAGCATATTCATTCTCTAATTGAAAGAGCAAAGCTTGAACTTCAAAAAATATTGAAAACAAAATTTTTTCGGATTACACTTGGAATGCGAGAAAAAACAATCAAAGTTTTTGAAAATTTTTTCATTGATTTTAATTCGAATTATCTTCAACCATTACTATCATGTTTAACCTCTGAATAACGATATTTTTCTCAATGTCTCTAATTTTTCATTTCTTTGATTTCCATAGATAATTTTGTCTATAGACTCAAGAAATAATATAAGGAAAAAAAGTATGTTACAAGAACTCTTTTGACAATGTTTCATACGAATTTTTTCTTCATTTTAAGTTAGTCCCACAAAAACAAAATTTTTCTACCATTTTGAAGTTCAGATTTAGCTCTTTCGATTGGAAAAGAATCAAAAACCCTTTCTACGATATTCCTAAACAGAGAACAATGGTTCGAGATTGAATTTCGATTGAGATTTGACTAAGCTATCAAATTACAAGTAAGTCGTTTTTCTAGAGGCCTCTAGAGAATAGACGTACTAAAAATTTGATTGTTTATTCAAACCCTCTTGGAGTTTTTACTAGAATACTATTCAGTACCTATGGGCAAAAAAAATCATTGACATCGGAAGTAGCAATCTGAAGATATTCCCTAATTAGTACAGTAGTAGAAAAATAGTCGACGATATTCATTTTTAATTGTAACTAAGTTATAGACATTTCATGATTATTATACTTCTGTGAAAACTCGTTACATTTATAGTAATTGATAATAGTAAACAATTGTGATTTGTAATAGTTATCTATTTTTTTTATAGATAAGCTGATAATATCAATAAAGAAAATTTATCTTTAGCATATGTTATAGATATATCATCTTCGTCAATGACACACAAATAAATCGTTTAGTTAATTTATATACGCGATTTTTTTGTCATAATGTTTCTATATCAACATTATCTCTGAGAAGTAATAAATAATCTATATTATTTAATTATTATATAATAAAAAAATTAGCGTTTTTCGGGTGTAAGACTTGACTTTTTCAGTATAATTAAGGGAAGTATAATTCGAAAATTCTTTATTGATCTTCAAACTTTACCATTTTGAATCCAAGGATAAATTAACAAATAATATTCATATGAAAAATATTTCTTCCTTGAACTTATACCTTTTTTTTGTCTAATTTATGACTATTTTCCTTACCTCATGGACTTTGTTTATTTATTGATTCAATTCAACTACAATCAAGTACTTCAATTAGTCTACTTCGTTTTATTATAACCATCAATCATTTAATAGCTTCTCCTATCAAATAAATATATTGTTAAAAATATATTTATCTAATGTAAAATCTATTACGAAAACATTCTTTATCAATAAAAAAAGAACTAATATTTATCTATATTTGATCATTATTTTCTGAGACGTACATATAAATTATAATCAAATATTTAAATAAGTGTCATTGATCTATTATTGAAATTTATTTAATTACAAAATTTAGTTACTATAAAATTTATACTATAATTTGACAAATGTTATTTGTTCTGACCTAATAAGATTTAGAAATTATAAAGAATTAAAAAGTAAAATAAAAGAATTTATCTACAAAAAAAAAATTCTACGTGTTGTTGTTTCACATATTTTAATACATAGTAATTGTATCTTGATCTCTTTTTTTTTAGCATTCAATTTTACAACGGTTGATATTTTCGTTTGACAATCTAAAGAAAAATCATAATTTTTCTCTTGATTGAAGTAAGAAGCAAGATGTACCTTCTAGGATTGAAGTGTTCTACGGGCAAAAGTTTTTAGCTTTAGACTGGAGCTCAGTCTCTCAAAGCGTCTGGTCGATCGCAGGATTATTGATATTAAGAAGGAAGAACAAATTCTACTGTGATCTGGCTTCTTCTATAACAGATGATCTCCTGTTGGGGCAGTTTCTCCCTATAATTCTACTTATCTCGTAACCACATTGTCTGCTTAATTTTTACTTCATTATCTACCAGAAAAAGCCAAATAGTATTTCAAAATTTTGTCGCTGTCCAAGTAGAAGAGGAAAGTCTTCATCTTAATCTCCTCCTAATCGAGAATTCTGGTTGGCATTTTCGGAGTTTGTGGTTATTGTATAACGTAGAATGAATTTGTACTTCTGAAAATAGATGCTGACCTCCTAACAGTTTTAGCTCGACGCTCCGAAAGAGGAAATCTGATTAAAACACTGCTTCTAGAAATTTTTACTGCCGCTACCACTATAATGATACGTCATACACTATTTTACTCTATTTCTGAGCGTACACCTCCAGGGTTTCTCAATTATAGTTAGAAAAATTTGATCAAGTTTATACAATATTGTTAACTTTGAAAAGTATATAAAACTCATAAAACTACAACTCGTTATAACATATATTTTGCAACAAATAAAAGCATTTCTTTTTCTTTTCCTTTTTCTTTTTCTTTTTTTGTTCTTTACTTAAAATAATGCTTTATATGGTTGTAAATATTTGTTTTCTTTCCTTACTTAACAACACCTTTGCATAGCGGTATATTTTTTAGAAGAAATCTGACAAAAAAAAGCCGGAATAAATTTCAATGGCATCAAGTAATAATGACAAAAGTTCATGCTCAATATGTAATGCGAGAAGATGGATATTTCCATGTGATGGTTGTCATAAATCATTTTGTATCACACATGCATCCAATCATCGAGCTGAATTAACATCACAGCTTAATAATATTCAACAACAATGCGAGCATTTACAAAATATTTATAATCAACATGAAAAAGTTCAAGAAAATCCATTATTTTCATTAATTGATGTATGGGAACATGATACAATAATGAAAATTCAACAAAATGCTCAAAAAATTCGTGATGAACTTCGACAAATACATGATGAATCAAATAATCAAATGAAAACTATATTTAATCAATTTAATGAACAAATTCGTATTCAACGTGAAACTGATGATTATACAGAAATCGAACTTGATCAATGGAAAGAACAATTAATAAGTATAAGAAAACAATTAGAAACACCATATGATATCGAATTAATATCAGATAATGATTTACCACCAATTCATTTAATTAAAATTAATGCAACAAAACCGAATATAATTTTTAACATTGCCTCTTTTTCTCAAACAACTCAAGTACATGAAGATACAAATAATATCGAATATTCTTGTGACAATGATGAACTTGATAAACAACAATCAACTATTATTGATATTAATGACAAATCAACTGTAGAATGTATAGTTGTTTTTTAAATATATCATTATAGACACAATTTGTATTTTAGTTTCCGAATCAAATGAGCCAAGTACCATATCGAAAGAAGAACCCGAAACAAATCTTAATGTATGCGATATATCATCAATTGAGACCCATCTTCTACTTGATCCAACAAAGAACACTAATCTTCTATTTCTTCAATTATCTGATACAGTTGAATCTCAAATACCTCAAATTCTTAATCAATTTAGTGATCATTGTTTACAGACATTCAATCACAAAGAAGATTTTCTTAATCAAATACAATGTTATGAACAAGCTATAAGTTTCATTGACGTTTCCAATATATCATCAGATGAACGAAATTGTTTGTTAGATACGATTTCACAACTAGATCATGTTTATTACATATATATTCGTGGTATTCCATCAGAAGATGATGTTGAACGTAGTGATTTTTTTCGACGATATCCAAAAATAAAGGCAATGTTTGAAAATGAACAACGTCTTATGGTTCAATGGGCAATTGATACAGCTAACGAGTATAAAAAAACCGGTGACATGTATATTGAAAAAGGTGATAAAGACAATGGACGTAAATGTTTTGAACAAGGTATTACATTATATAAACGTTTATCTGTTTTTCTCAATGAAAAACGACGTATTCGATGAATAAATAATACTTCACTGAAATCATTTTTTCTTTGGTTCGTGTATTTTTTTTTTCTGATTCTAGATTAAATGACTGTTATGAATCCTTCTCTTGTTGTTCTACTTGATCTTCAAGATGAACATAAAAATTTCGAAACAATATTTGATTCACATATCTTTTGTCGATTTACAAATAAAATTCAATGTTTAGAACATGTTTCATCACGTGTTACAAATATTCGTTTATTACATTTTTTTATACCAAAATCCGAACATCTAGTTATTGATGGACGTCTTCTGTTTTTTAATACAATTTATTATATTTATTGTATTGATCAAACTAGTATTAATGAAATGAAACAACAATATGATTATCCAATGTTTGTTAAAATTTTTCATATTAAATCTTTATCAACATATTTACATCAAGCAGCTATTTCACATTTAATTGAACAAGCTGAACGTCGAAAACATGAACCGGATGAACATGATATTGCACTACAAGCAGCAGCTGAATTTTCTGATATATTAGCTAATGAACTGTATAAATATATGATTGAAAAGACTGGTTAATTATCAAATGATCATCGATGAATTAGAATTGTTCTGTTAGATTTCTTTTTTGTATAAAATAGTTATATGTGTATAAAAACAACAAAGCATCTTTCATTATTTTCTTAATTATTTTAACAAATAGTTTAATATTTTAGTGAATAAAAAGCAATGTATTATCTAAAGTTGCT